GGCGCTGTATTTATACCAAATAAAGTGTGTATGGTTACTGAATATGCACAATTTGGAAGTTTGAAGGATTTGATAAATCACAAAAATTCAAAAGAAGTTAATATGCAAATTCGTGTTAAAATGATGTTGGACGCTGCTAAAGGTATTTTGTATTTACACTCAAACGGGATATTACACAGAGACATCAAACCAGACAACATTCTAGTGTTTTCACTTGATGTGAATAACAAAGTCAATGCAAAATTAACAGACTTTGGAGCAAGTCGAAATATTAATATGTTAATGACGAATATGACATTCACAAAGGGAATTGGTACACCAAAGTACATGGCACCTGAAGTCTTAAACAAAGAGAAGTACAAAAAGGCGGCTGATGTGTATTCATTTGCTATTACAATGTATGAGTGTTTTACGTGGAGTGACGCATTTCCAAAGGATGTCTACAGATATGCGTGGGATATTGCAGACTCGGTGTGTTATGGCAAGCGCCCTGATTTAATGATGCTGACTGAAAAACAAAAAGAAGTTGTTGTTAAGGCGTGGCAACAAACACCAAAAGAAAGACCTGATATTGCGATGGTGATTAAACAATTGGAATTGTTGTGATATTTATTAAATGTGTGCTTTTTTGTTTAAGGATTTTTGTTTAATAAGTAGTTATAGAATGACTTTTGTTTAAATCGTTTTTTTATATTATTAAAATGATTATTTTGTAATTTTTTTTGAATATTTTCGGGAAATATATTGTTATTTTTTGTTTTATTATTGTTTTTAATCCAATTATTAAAAATACCAACTTTTTTACATATGTTTTACATTCCTTGTATTTCACAACAACAATTTGTTATTCAAAATTATCAATCCACACTTCCAAATTTGTTTGTTCAAAATCAACTTGTTGAACTATCTAAAACTGTTGAAATACAAGAAGAAACATATTTATCACAATTTGATACTACGGTTTGAGTCAACATAACAACAATATTAAGCACAAGTGGAACATATTTGCCCGTTGTTAATGATTGTGTGTATTATAAAGACGGAACTTCACATGATGTTTTTAAATGCAGCCGTTATTCCAATGACTGTAAAGTTATAATTAGCATTGTTGAATTTTAACTAAACTAAAATTGGAAACGAAACGCAATTTATTTCTAACATACAGGAGGCAGAATAATTACTTGACAAAGAATAAATTGAATAACAGAAAGATGATTGGCCAAAATGCCCAATTAACGATTTTTGGTTAGTTGTTTTAGGTTTATTTTTCGGAAATTACCACTTATTCTATTTTTATAATTAGAAATTACTTGACAAAGACTAAAAACAGCGTTTTTTTTCCAAAAACAAAAAATGGAACTGAACTCGATTAAGAAACGTCTTTTCGAACAATTCAGTTCTGGATTTCCTCCAATTCGCCAATTGTGAGTTTGAAAGGCTCGAGACTCTATTTAATCGCGTCAATGTTACTGCCGTAGACTTGGTGATCTCCATGGTATAATACGTGGGAGTTGTCACAAATATTGGCAATTTAAATTTTTAGAATGGAATGTGTTACCCCAAGTTTCCCGATAACTCGATCTGCTATAACAATTCATTGATATGACTGACCAACACCGAAGTTTCAATTGAAGAAAAAAGCATTCTTACTCTTCCTTTACAAATCAGATACGGTAACTGTCGCTATTTTATCGGGCGGA